TGACAAAATGCCTACAAAAAGGAATTTAAAGGGAAGATATGTTTGTTTTGGCTCATGACTTCAAGCTTTTAGCTCTGGTTACTGAGCTTTGCTGGGTTGGGCCTGTGCAGAGGCAGGATGTTGTGGCAGACAGCAGGTGGAGAGCAAAGCTGTTTGCTCAATGGCAGCAAAGAAGTTGGGGTCTGGGGATGAGGAAGCAGGGCCAAGTTATGTTCTTCAAGGACATGTCCTCAATGACCTACTTCCTCCAACTAGACCCTACTTCTAAAGTTTCCAGAACTTGTCTGTGGCCCATCAAGCTATGAAGTCATGGTTGTTTAAACAGATCCATGGGATCAGAGCCCTCATGATCCCGTCAGCTCCCAAAGGCCCTGCCTTTGAGCACTGCTCATTGAGATCAAGTCTTCACAGGAGCTTCCAGGCGATGTTTCAGGTCCCTACCATAAGTGAAACACAGACTATATTTTAAAAACACACTGAACAAGATGTAAACTATCAGACTAAATTTTGTGCTGATTATTTATTGAAAAGATAGTGTTTGGGGTAAATCAATACATGATTAAAACAAACTTCTTGTGTTTTGTTCTTTTAATTTGACTACTTGAGAACTTAAAATCATATACGCAGCATATGTTATATTTTTGTTGGATAACTCTGACCTAGAGTTAATAAGGTATTGTTACAAAGTAGTAAGAAAATCAGTTCATTTAGTAGAAAATGAACAAGACTTGGGTGCTAACTTCACAAAAAGAGCACTCACATAATTGGCAAGTATATAAAAGTTGCCACGCACACGCCTTTAATCCCAGTACTCGGGGGGCAGAGGCAGGTGGATCTCTGTGAGTTTGAGGCCAGCCTGGTCTACAGAGTGAGTTTCAGGACAGCCAGGACAGCCAAGGCTACACAGAGAAACCCTGTCTCAAAAAACCAAAACAAGAAAGAAAAGGTCCCTATTTGAGAAGCTATAGAGGCAGTCTGAAGCTGAGATGAGCTAAACAGAGGGTAGCTGCAAGCCTAAAGCTGATAAGAAGGTGAGACAGTGGAAACTCCAGTCTGAACATCTGCTGGATGTGGCGTTTGAATGAGATGCCCTATAAGTGTTGGACATTTGAATACTTGCCCCCAGTTGGTAGCGTTTGGGGAGGATTAGACCTTGCTAGTGAAAGAATGCCACTGGGAGAGGACTGTGAGGTTTCAAAGACTCAGGCTGTTTGCTTCTTGTTTGTAGTTTGAGATGGGAACTCTCAGCTGTGCTTCAGCAGCCTGGTATTTCTAGTTCGCTATCATAGACTGTAATCTTCGGAAACTATGAGCCCAGATAGGCACTTTCTTCTATGAATTGCCTTGGCCATGGTGTTTTATCACAGTAAGAGAGAAGTAACCAACATTGGAAATGTAAATCAGCCATTAAGTTCACTCTAGACAAGTGGTGACCTTTGTAAAACTGACCATAGACAGCTCTAGGGCCCCTAATTCCCCCTCTTTGGCATTTTCTTGGCAGTAATGCTCACAACTGTAACGAAAGACATGTGCCAGATAGTTCAGAGCAACATTGGTAATTAAAGTACTAACCTAGAAACAAAAATATCTGCTACTAACAAAATTGAATCGTTGAATAATAATTTAAAGGACAACAATGAAAATGAGATGTAAAGCAATGGTAGCATCCTGGGGCTGGGGAGATGGCGCAGTCAGTAAAGTGTTTGCTATACAAATATGAGAACTTGAGTTCAATGCCTAGGACACACATAAAGGAGCATGGTGGCACATATTTGTAACTCCAGCACTGGGGAAGTGGAGACAGGATTATTCCTGGGGCTTGCTGGCTGGCCAGCATGGGAGTTCCAGGCCAACTGAGAGTCTTTGTCTCCATATGCACACATATATTCACCGACTTACATGAACGCACACATACACAGACAAAATAATGAGAAAAAGCCTGGGGGGGTCACCCATCATCAAGGACACTTCTCTTTGTAGCAGACTGAGGCCATTACAAGAAAACACAACTGATCCATATATGGAGTTGTGGAGCCCAGTCACAATGGCGACATCTGCAAAGCACTCCTGCACCTTAGGCTAAAGGAGCACCATGGAAGAGGAGGGCAGAAAGATTGTAAGAGCAGAGGATCAGGGAATTTTCTGTGAGACTGTGTCTCCTAGTAGTGTCAGAAACTACATGCATAAAGTCTAAACATGATGGATGAAGTGTGAGCTGAGCAAGGACAACACAATAAACATGCGAAATTGGACTGGGCAGGCTCAACTCTACACGGACTACAGGCAGCAAAGGAATGCTGACAGGGGGAGAGATAGTTTCCTCCAAAGAAGAGCACTCACGTTTGTTATCCAATACCAACATTTCAGGCCTAAAACATACATACAAGTAGCATTATACAGACGGAACAGGTTATATTTAGGAATATATACATATATAAATATATAAATGTAACAACGATGAATGAAAAAAGAGGCCATGAGTTTAAAAGAGAGCAAGGAGTTTACAGGAATGTTTGGAGGGAGGAAAAGGAAGGAGAAAATGATGTCATTTTATCATCTTCAAAATAAAAGAAATTAAACACAGGAGGCTGGAGAGATGGCTCAGTGGGTAAGGATGCTTGCCGTTCAAGAATGAGGACCTGAGTTTGGTTCCCCCATCACGTCTATAAAAAGCCAGGCATGGTGCTCACACCTATAATCCCAGCACTGGAGAGAAGAGGATCACTGGGGCTTGTTTGGTATCTGGCTTAGCTGAAAAAATGTTGAGATCTGGGTTTGCTGAGAGAGCTTCTCTCCAGGGAATAGGATGGAGACGGACAGAAGAGGACCCCCAACGTGTTCTCGTGGCCTCTAATGTGTGCCCCTCCTGTGTGCACACATGCATCCATATTTACACACACGAAACAAAGGAAAATCTTGCAAGGCAATAATACAGTCTCATTGTGTGGAATGAAGGAACTCAGATGAACATTCACAAGACATGTAAGTCAGTTGGTATTAAATTCCAATTCTATGAGTTAGGAGTCAGGACAGGTAGACCTTTGGAGGAGCAGGCGGAGAGACCATATGAAGGAAGTTGTCTAGTGATGGTGTATTTCCATCTTGGACTGTGTGCTGATTATACCAATGAGCTCACCAATCACTTCACTATTGCTTTAGACCCCATTTAGTATATATTATACTTCAATAAAACAATTTATGCCAATGTCTCTGAGCCAGATGTTCTGGTACCACCTTTGATCCAAGCAGCCTGGAGGTGGAAGCTGGAGGACACAGAGTTTGAGATGGGTCTGACCTAAATAACGAGACTTTGTTTCAAAGAACCCATGGAAAACCTAGTAAGTGAAACAACTCTGTTTTACCTGCTGTTCACTCATGACCCACCCATCCTCCCTTTTAGATATAAAGGAATTTTATCTACAAGTTACCCATGTTCAGGGAGTTATTTGCTTTTTCCTGTTACCAGAAGCTAGTGAGAAAGAAATATCTTCCTTGCTTGTTCATTTGTCCATTCCCTTTTTCCTTCCTTTTTTTGAGACAAGGTGTCTCTATGTATCCCTGGCTGTCCAGGAACTTGTTATGTAGAGCAGGCTGCTCAGAGATCTGCCTCCTTCTGCCTCCTGAGTACTAGAATAAAAGCGTGCATCAGCATACCTGGCATTATTTTAATTTTTTTAATATTGTTTTATTTTGTGTCCATTTGTAAATCTGCTCTAATGCTCATATGAGATAAAATTTAAACTTTTTTTGACCCAATTTTATTCATTGTTGATAGGAGAGTTCAGCCAATCACATTCTGTTTTTGGGGTGTGCCGCCCTTAGGCTAAAGCTTGCCTATAAACCTAGCAAGCGCGCTCCTGCTAGCTCTCTTTCGCCTGGCTCCTGCGTCCGCGTCCGGACGGATCGTTTGGATTCTGGTGTAAGCTGTTGTAAGTCTTACTTCTGTTTATTAAAGCTGTATATTTTGTATTAAGATAGTCTGGGGACTTTTCATTACCAATCGCCCCGCGGCTTCACACTGTAAAAAAGAATGTGCAAGAATCTAACTTCATTGTCCTCTAAAGTATTTAAGGCTGAGCATCTGTTTGCTGGCATATGCGACATAATATCAGAATTCAGTTTTCTTTTGAAAACTAAAATCAGAGCATTATATATGAGCTTAGGAAGTTGCGTGATATAGATGGTTACTGATTAATTTAATCATAGAATCAGGAAAAGAACACCATGAAGTGATTTCTCACCCAAAGCAGGCCTTAGATCTGAACAAGGTTGGAGAGCTCTGATCTAGGGAGTAAAAATGCTGCTTCAGGATAGGTGTCCAGAGAAAGTGGACAGAGAGGAAACAGATGTCCTAAGGCCTCGCCTCCCCTTCGGACTTTCTTAAATGTCAGATTGCCATTCAGTAGTAACCGTTGAACAAGGGCTCTGAAGTCTCTCAGACTGGTGTGCACTAAGGATTGGTTTGTGTTTCCTAGCTTCCTGATCTTGTGGGAGCTACTCAAGAGGCCTATGGACTATGGCAGGGGCCATGTTCTTCCTCCAAGGGCCGCCATGAGACTGTAGGAGTCCCCACAGGGGCAGATCATGCAGAGTGAGCATAAACTTGTTAATGCACAGCTGGATTCACCCTTCCAGGGCATCTGTCGGCTCCAAGGGTATTTTTGTTCTAATTTTTCTGCTTGGGGAATTCTCTTTGCCAAGGCTTTTGGCACAATTAGCAGAGGTTTCTTCTTTTGCTCACCCAGGACCAGGTTCCTCCTGTCGTCCTCACGTGATTTCTACCCTGTCTTTTTTAATTTTTAATGATTTAATTTGACATACTAGCCCCAGTTCCCCCTCCCTCCACTTCCCCTGGCTCCCACCTCCCCCATCTCAACCCCATCTACTCCTCAGAGGAGGGAAGGCCTCTCTTGTCTGTCTACCCTGTCTTGTTGTAATTTATCTCCTACCATGAAGGGATTTCTTTTCTACGTATACTATATAATGACGAGCATCATTACCAATACGGAATTTCCAAAGGAATGGATGGTTTTGCCGTGTGACTTCGCTGTCTTTGGTCTTGTCAGGCAGGTCATCTGTCTTAGGGTTTCCAGATGTCTCGAGAGTTTTGGACCATAGTACATGGGAACTTTCAGGAAGCGTGGGTTCCACATTTACTGTCTGCATGAGACACTACTCTCCTGATGGGTTTTTAGCAAGAAAATGAGGGGTTCTCTCAAGACTGGCTGCTAAGCAACAGCCCTGCCCTAGAAGTTTCGCTTCAAGTCATTGTGACATTGTTTCCTGCAAAGCAGCATTGTGGAATAAAGGCAGCTGGAAAGCCTGATTGGAGTGGTAAGTCTATTGTGACTTACTACTTGTAAGTGACCAACAACAGGGTCCTGGGCTCACTCCCTTCAACTCTGGTATAACTTAATGCGCCCTGTTTATTTCTACCACGAGGGGTTTGTCCTCACTGTAACTGTGTCTGAGAAACTCTTCCCAGGTGAGAAAATTGTTGGCTGTCTTTGGCTTTGGTTAAGATCTTCCCACAAGAGTCATTGTCTAGGACTGGATAAGCCAAAGTATTGCTATTCACTGGGCACTTTGAAACAAACTTTTGTCTTCTTCATTTCCTTTTTTATTTATTGTTCAATATGGCAGAAGCAAAATATCATCCCCCCTGTAAAAGGAGATTAGTCTTCCTTACCGCTCTGCCTTTCTCACTTTGAATGGTACCTGGCGTGTAGTAATAGAAAGTGCTTGGAGTTTCTGGTGAAGGGTTAGTATCCAGAGAGAGGACTGCCATCTCATGAGATGTGCTGTCATGAGACTCTCACTCTCATGAGAGTGCTGTCATCTCTCATGAGATCTCTGTGATTGGTGTTAGGGGATGCAGTAAAACAGTAGATAAGGCTCCAAGCTGTGGTTGCCTGGCTCTGGTTCTGGCTTTACAAGGAACCAAGCTTCTCCAGGTCTTGGTTTCCAGGAAATAGTAGTATCCATCTTAGGAGGCCGCGTGAGAGCTAAGTAAGAAAATGCATGTTCAATACATCAAGTTTGGGCTGCATGTGGTGGCATCTGTCTGTAGTCACAACTGCTCAAGAGGTTTAGGGAGGATCACTGAGCCCAGGATTTTGAGACAGGTCTAAGCTATACAGGGAGACCCATCTTAAAAGACAAGAAACAAAACCAAAAATAGTTTGACCCATAAAGTGAGCCTACATTGGATTCTGGAGAAAAAAACAGAGCCATTATATTCTGACTACATGAAGATTCTTTTAATTGTAAGTAAGAGACATGCGAGGGCTTTAAGGAACAAAGGAGGATTGCATAGTCAAAGGGGAGTCTTATAGCCCCAAAAGGTAGAAGTGCAATGGGCTTCATAAAGGAACTAGAATCAGCAGCTATAAAGCTGTTGGCAAGTGCTTGCACTAGATGTTACATTCTAGCTTTCACACTTAGAGTAACTTTTTCTTTTCCTTATTTCTCTACAGCCCCTGAGCTTACATTCTGCCACTCTTAGTGGCTAACAGACCCACAGATTAACTGAGTTAATCTCAGTTGTGAATTCCAGGAAGTGATAATCTAATCTGCTCCATTGAGTCTAATGACCAGTTAATCAGATAGCCATGTGAGGGGTGACAGCAACTGTCAGCCCCTACTATGGTTTTAAGTACAGTGCGTGTTCTCAAAAAAGGCTCCTGCTAGTTTATATTCTGGGCAGCTACCCCATGATGCATCCGCTGCCCCTCCATGATGAGTCTCTGAACACCCACCAATCCCGGAAGCACTAAAACAACACCTGGGCTTTCAGCAGAAGCAGGATGATGTTCGGGGCTTCTGATCTTAGACAAGACAAGCTGCCCTGCTTATGCTCACGAGTTCAGCACTCACTGTGGCTCCTTCCTGAAAAGGGTCACTACGCTACAGACCTGCCTTGTGAATGTCCTCATCTTGTCCTGCGCACCAACAGTTTCATCATTTCCTTCCCGCAGCCTCAGCCATCACGCAGATGTACACAGGCAAACCGAAGATGGTAGGGTGGTGTCTCCACTTCGTTCTCACAGTCTTTTCACCTTTCGCCAGAAGCAGCTGGCGTTTCCACACTGTGAAAAGGTTTTCACCAAACCGCAACCCCCCCCCCCCAAGGGAGCTCATGTTTTGACTGTTGATTTTATTTTAGTTTGTTAGGTAGATTCAAGATGTCCTTCGTAAGGAGCAAAAGAGACTTCAGAGTCCTGGGAAAAACTGATATGGACAAGTCCAAGACTAGTTTCTTCATCACAGGTTGCTTTGAGGAGAAGGTCCGTTTGGAAATTGTGCTGGGATGAGATTCCAATTGGGCAGTGACAGAAGACTTTTTGATTATTCTCTTGGCCCAGCTGACACAGAATCTACTGCCTCAGTGTCTGTCTTCCAGCTCCTACCTCCACTGTCTAGAGGAGATTTACTTGCCAAAGGTCTGAAACAGAGGCCATGCAACCTGAGAAACACAGCACAATGTGATGAGCAGGGACCCTCATGCAATGGCAGGCTTCCGCTGGAGGTGAATAAAAGTTTGGACATGGTGGCCTTGACTAGGGCTTAGATCGGAGGATAATTCTATGCTCAGGATTTAAGAAGTGATATCAATCCAAGTTCTTACACATTTCTCGGTCCTCCTACCTTACCTCAAAGCCAGCTGGACTTGGAATGAAAATAAATATTTTTTCTATATAACTCATTGAAACATACTTGCTGAGTACCTACTATGTAAAGTAAGAAGCTTTAAAGATCAGGTAAAAAATGCCTCAATATAAAAAACAATCTGTATAGTGACAGGAGAGGACTGTTGAGCCTTCCTGTTAAATCTCCCCAGAGAGGGGTAAGTGAGACATCAAAGCACAGCCCCATAGAGACACAGATGCTTGTGGTGATGGCCAGCACAATTTCTGTAGACTGTTGCACATCGCAAAGACTTAGGAGACCAGGACCCTGCTTCCAGGCGTGCTTGGTTTGCCCTAAAGGTATCCTATTGGCATGGAAGTTGATGGCTTGTAAAAGCTCAGAGACTGGCACTTGGACAAGAGCAATGAGATGAAGTGGGAAGAGTCTCCGTGGGCAATAGATACAAGCATGCCAAGACTCCCCTTGAGTTGATGGGGAGATGTTTGCATATCCCTGGTGTTACGTACTTTGACTGTGCACTCTGAGGGCTTTCTTCAGGGCCCTCACCGGTGCAGAAAGCACCGGTGAAGTCATCCATGCCCAGGGTCCATAGCATGGCACCTCCCAAGTTGTTCTGCTTAAGCCGTTCGGCCTGTTTCAGGATAGAGGATAATAGTCATTTGATTTCTTGAAGCCCAGGGTTGGGCTTTCAGACCTCCCATGGGACTCATTTTATCTTGATATGAAAGCTCTTCACGTTGTCATAACCAACCCATTTGTTGCCCTGATAGGCATAAGGTACTTCCTGATCAGCATCCCAGGCCTCAGTGGCTCCATCATCCAAGAAGGTGCAAATCTTTAAAAGTCACGAGATAATAATCCTTTAAATATTGTGTCATGCTAGAGAGAAAAACACACTCTATTTTTTCTTCCTTTAATATATGTATCTGGGGGTGTTTTCCAGTGGCTTTTATCTGGAGTCATGAAGTTTGAGATAGTTTTCCTTTTGTGGTTCTGGGGATGAAACTCATGGTATGGCTCATGCTGCAAGAGTACTCTGCAACTGAACTTCATTCACAGCCCATGTTTTTAATTATTTATTTGCTTTTTGGTAGAGTCTCAGCTTATAGCCCAGAATTCAAACTATTGACCTCTGAATTCTGAAAGCTGATATTGCAGCTTAATATATACGGCCCCATAGCAGACAGAAATATTCATGACATATCATATGATACATCTTTAAAATGTATGGTACTAGAGATGGAACCCAGAGCCATACTCATTAAGGCAAGAGCTAGACCACAGAGCAACACCCTCATCTCATGCTGTTTTCAAATGCTCATTTACTGTCCATGTTATAGGGTTGACGTTTTAGAGTCTGTAGCAATATGGGGCATATGTCCATTTATCACTTTATTTATCCATATAAATAAACTTAAGAATCTTGTCTGTTGCATGAAGGGTTATTATATATTGTTAACTCCTCAGTTTTAAAAATATATTCTATATGTACAAACTTTTAAGAGTTTGAAATGATACTCTGTTGATGGAGATGGCTCGTTCGTTTCCTGGCTTCCCAGACTCCAAATAGTCACACAGAAACTATATTAATTAAATCACTGCTTGGTCTATTAGCTCAGGATTTTTATTAACTAACTCTTAAATCTTAAATTAACCAATTTCTTTTATTTTGTATTTTACCACGAGGCTTGTGGTTTACTGGTAAGGTTCTGACTGGCAGCTGTCTCCTTAGGCAGCTACATGATGTCTCTCTGACTTCTACTCTCTTCCAGCCTGGCCATATTCCACCATGCTATAGGCTGAAGCAGCTTCTTTATTAACCAATGGTAATAAAACATATTCACAGCATACAGAGGGAGACCCCACATCAATACTCTGCTTAGAGCAGATGGATACTGGACATAATGAACATTCAAATTCAGCAGATTTCTATTCCTCAACCTCTGGGCAACAAGCCCAGCACTGGGCCTAATATTTGCAGAGAACTTTATAGACAATGTACTGACCTCATAATAGGCCCAGATGCCAGATTCCTCTGTGTAGGGTCCTAGTGCCCCAGCACTAGCTAGCAGTGGGCACACCAATTCCAGTGCTAGAGGGTTCACTCAGGGTGAAGGTTTGTCCATATGCCGGGAATCCAACAATGAGCTTCTCAGGAGATGCTCCACTTTCATCCCAGTAGGTCATGATGTAGTCCTGCAGGGGCGTAAGTTAGCTGTAGGCCTTAGGTAGCTGGTGCCCTGTGCTTGCTTATGTTAGTTCCCTGTTCTAACTGCTCAAATTATATATTGAAAATTTATTAGTTTTTTTCCAAAATACTTCACTGAAGTTGTAGCAAAGGAGGTATACAAGAACACTGCATACTCAAAATTTGATTTTTTAATTTTGTGATGAATCTCTCATGATTTGGACCATTTCCCGTCTGCATTTGCATCTGTGTAGGGTCTTACCACATTGAGGAAGGTGTTGGTGCCGGTGTCATTTAGGGATTTGTAGAGGGGACTGTTTTCCCCAGAGTAGCCATCCTGGGAGCCATGGAGATTATAAGTCATGACCTGGATGTAGTCTAAGAAGCTGTGGATGAAGGATGCTGTTTAAATAATTTCTGATGATCATTTGTCATACCAATGCCAGGAAAATGTGCACTTTCGAAGCCTATAAACCAAGACCATGTGCAACAAAACACCCCAAGGATGAAGATCTGTTGCTTACATTCCCTCAAGTATTCCTGAACATGGTAGACCACTTACTGTGACAGCTGGGGGATCTCATAGCCAGACTGGATGATGGACACAACACCAGCTACTGTGGCAGTGATCATCAGCCTGGGTCTACTGCTCTCAAAGACTTCTTCTTCAAAAGCTTCAAGCATTCTCTACAGAATAGTAACGTACAGTAGAGAACATTACAAATTCGTTTCAGCTCTTCTAATAAGTGTATATTTTTAAAAAGTACTTTCCCGTTTTGTTTTACATGTTTCTGTCATTATCTCAATAAAGGCAGTAGTACAGATGGTGTTAAGAGCCATTAAATATTTATGGGGTTTAGGACTTTATTATGTCCCCTCTAAAGTTACTAGCTATTCATCCAAACTCTAGATCCCAAATGACTGAGAGCTTTGCCACCATCGCCACATTCTGAAGCAGCCCTTGCTGCAGTTCCCTAAATCTAGCTTCCAGCAGTAGAGAAAGGTTTTCCATTTTCGACTAACTGAAGTTTATCATAAGACCAATACCTGATTGAATGAAATGCACAGTTAACTAAGGGAGAAGGTGGTAATGGTTGGGTACCAAGTGCAATTTAGTGCCAGATGGTAATCTACCTCTACTTTACGTGACTTTCATCTTGTATGAATATACTTCATACAAGTATATAATGAATCTCTTGTATATCTTCATACAAGAGATAATGTATTGGGGTTATCTCTTATAATTGCCTTGTTTCAGAGTACCTGGTCATCTCCCAACAGAATGCTCACAGAAATTGCTCTGTGTGCTTGTGGTCAAGTGACCAGGACATTTTACTGGATGAAGAGCATTATAAGAAAGGTGTTAGAGCTGTCTTGAAATATTAACCCCGTATATTGCAAGGTATGTGATTTTATATTGTGCTGTTGTAGTGCAAAGATCTCTAACTTTTTGCCTGGAGGTATGCTTCAATTAAAGAAAGAAATAACATGTGAGGCAGTAGTGGCACATGCCTTTAATCCCAGCACTCGGGAGGCAGAGACAGGCAGATCTCTGTGAGGTCGAGACCAGCGTTGTCTACAGAGTGAGTTCCAAGACAGGCTCCAAAGCTACAGAGAAACCTTATCGTGAGAGAGAGAGAGAGAGAGAGAGAGAGAGAGAGAGAGAGAGAGAGAGAGCCTGCAAAAGCCAGGAAACTGGAAAGGGGCCATTGGGACATTGGGAAAAAAGACAGAGTTTAAGGGAGTGAGTGAGGATAGGATAATAGACAACAAATAGTTGTTGGGGAATAATGGGGAGGGGTAAGTGTGGAGTGGGATGTTAGCGGAGAGTACAATAGGAGTAAGAGGAAGGATAACTTACTAAGAATGTTTGATAAGATCATAGGGAAACCTCCCATTTTATAAGCTTCCTAAAATACATTTAGTGAAAAAGCTTAACTGGAGTTGCCTATATGGGTGTTGTGTAAGGCTCCTCCCAGAAGCCATAGGTTATCAAACAAAAAACCCAGTGCCAGATGTGGGATCCAGGTCTTCAAGTTGTTGCTCAGTGGATCCCAGAGAACCCTAGGACAATGCAGGCTGTTACCATTGCTGTTGGTTACCGACTAGAACTTGACAGAGAGATGCTATCGCTAAGAGCATGACACACTTTGATCATAGAATATAGAGAAGTCAGTCTGGTGCTGACCTGGAACCTCCCTCCCTGTAGGCTAGTTTCCTTAGACCAGAAGGCCCTGTGAAGGCTGGTGGGGGGAAGAAAAGCCATCAAAAATTGTGCCAGCTATGATCCAGTGACAAGTGACCTGAAAAGATATGTCAGCTAGTGCAGTATAGGCATGGATGTTATGGGGTAAATCAACACCGTTCTAATTGAACTCAAGTCCTGTTCTAAGGAGGGGAATACACTACTGGTACTGTAAGGAAATCTAGCCAAGAATCTGTGAATTGGGGAGTAACAGGACCTGCAAAATACTGTTTTCCTAAGGAAAATAGTATTGAACTGCCTCCTAATTAACTTTTCCTCGTACCCACAGACCACTGCAACTCTCATCCCTCACCAGGGAAGCTTCTTTACACAGCAAGCGGCAGTTAATACAGACTGACAGCTGGTGGAAAGCGTTCTGCTCTTAAGAGGCTATCCGGATCACACCCCACTTCCCCAATGCTCAGGGAACATTGGAGAAAAAGTGGAGCCGGAGGTTGGGGAAGATTGCTGAGAAATAATCTCGACGATGGGACTGCTGCACCCACGAACGTACGAGACGCACAAGATCAAGCCAATCAGCAGAGTATGGAGCCGGAAGGGTCTCAGGAGGTCTCACCCTTAGGCAACAGAGGGAAAGAGAATCAGTTTTCCTCGGTTGTTAGGGACATGGTAGTTTGTCCATCCTCCAGTAGATGGCGCCATACACCCATGTAAATAGCCCCTGAAAGTTGGGCGTGGAATGAGGGAAGTCTGGGGAGAATTGAAAGTGGGTAGCGGTGTGGGAGGTGATGAATATGATCTAAGTACAATGATTTATGCACTATATTACCAAAGAATAAATATGAATAAAGATAAAGGAATGGAGTTACTGAATCTGACAATTAGAGCTATTGGGCAAAAGTAAGCTGGCAGACTCAGTGCTAAAACTCTCCAGAGGCTGCCCGACGATCTAGTATATGGTGCCATATGGGAATAATCTATCACGGTGGATATAGGACAGTGTAGAGATTCTGCCAAAAACGAGTAGAAAATAGAAGTAAAGAATGGAATAAATTAAAAGCCGTTTGTCATCTTTGACTTCATAACCTATTCATTTTTGCTTGGTGACCACCCCTCTTGCTGATGACACCAGTCCATCAAGTTGAGTCCTTTCCCGTGAGCCCTAGATATGTATTCATCCAATGCAATCTGGCCGTTCAGACCTATCCCAGTCCCTATGTTCGGATGTAAAGGATTCAGTTCTCCCACTCCGAATTCACTTTTTTGCTGTATTTATCGCCTTAACCAACCCACTTCTGCCCAAATAGCTCTTTAAGTCAGGAAACTGTGGATCTTCTATTGCTTTCTACTATAAATTTATCCCCAGGTCCTACCGGTTTCTATATTCAGAGGTCCCGTTGTGTACGCCCTCCTTCCCTCAGTGAGAAAGCATTGCTTCCCGTGATCACCTGTCCCTTAATTTACATCAGTGGCGTCCCCTGGAACTTTGCCTGCTGACTCTCCTTGCTTGTGTTTAATGTCAGAGCAGTAAGTCAAAACCAAAAGTTTGGCCACTGTTTCTCCACTGTGTATAATCCTTCACAGTATTCCCAATTATCTAGAGGGAGAATTCCCAATCTTTAGCTAAAGGACCCGCATGATCAGGCTATGGCTACCTGTGCAAACTCACACTCTTTCTCACAATCATTTAGTCACTGGTCTCTGTGTCTTTGTGACTTGCCCATTCTGACCTAATTGGACAGCGCTAATGGTTTCCCAAGACTAAGATTAGGTATCACTTACTGTGTTAGGCTCTTTCTGTTCATGCTTCACACGAACTTCTCTGGGTTTCTTGGTATTTATGCTAATCCTGTGTCTGCAACTGTTGGTTAAGTTTCAGCATTCTGACTCATACTGAATGTTGTTTAAAGCTACAGGTTTTGCCTTATTCTTATTTTAAGCCTAAACCAATATGTGCCACAGAGCGTGTGTTACTCTGATAACAACAGATTGTCTTATATAATCATTCTGGCATTGAACTCTGTTGTCAGGTAACACAGGCAGTTATGATATATCCTTAGTTACTTATCGGTAGAATGAATATCATAATGCTTATGGTACTTTTATTATAGAGCACTTAATACAGAAAGATCTGTACAAGTTCAACCAGACAAAATACTAACATGGAGTGGGGAGGTGGTCAAGAAGTTCCATCCCTAGTGAAGGAATTATTGGTAATTAACAGTTTCCAGGAGCAGTTAGCTTTAATTAAGGGTGTGGCCTCTGATAGCTAGGACATGCTCCAGCAGATAGCCATCTAACCCAGAGTACATGGACAGCACTAACTGAAATTGTGTGTGTGTGTGTGTGTGTTTAAATTACACAAAGCTAAGTAGATACAGAATAGGGAAAATCGGGAGAAGATGAGGGAGAGGAAGATAGAATCAAAATACAATATGTGATATTCACAAAGAATTAAAATGTGTATTAAATGTGAATATGAATCATCATCCCTAAAATGATGTGATATGTCTGGAATGCAACTTGTTGAAGGGGTATTTAATACAGGAGGATCTTTGCAATGCTAAGGTTCTGTACGTCTCAATTCAGTTGAGTTTGTTTTACTGTGTACCACCCTGTTCTACTCAGAAAGAACAGACTTTGAATCTTCCAGGACTAAAGGCACTTCCTCCTTTTCCTGCTTTCCTCACCTGCACCAGGACGGTGAAGAGATGCTTGTCTTTAGCAGGGCTCCCATGAGATCCAGGGAACTGCCAGTCCAGGTTCAGCCCGTCAAACCCATACTGGCGCAGGAATTTGATGGCTGAGCTAATGAAAGTCTGGCGGTTGTGAGGAGTGGAGACCATGGCGCTGAACCTGACAGAGACCAAAAAAAAAAAAAAAAAAAGGGCATGGTAAGGCCTGTATAATATTAACACACTGGAATAAAAACACTTTACAGCCCAAATTCTACCTCTGTGCCTTCACTAGGATGCTTCAACCTGATGAACACTTGTTTCTATTTTGCCCCAGCCTTCCTTTGCAATCACTACTTTTGCTTGCCTCAGGACTCAGCATGTTCTTTGTTTTGTTATCCCCAACTGAACTATTCCAAAATTATCATTTTTAAAGATATCTGGCCATGTTAACTTACCAAACACACTTCTAGTTCATGTGCTTTCAAAGAAGTCTTATTTAAGAGAAGACTTTTAATTTTCCATATACAAAAGACAAAAACATTGTACAATGCCTTCTCAAGCCATTGTGACCTTGAAATACTTTAGATAGAAGTGCTTTGGAAGCAGGAAACTGTTGCTCAAAGCGTTCTGTACTTGAATACCATTTGAGTTTAAAGTTTGACAACATAGTAATCTTGCCAACTGTTCTGCTTAGAAGTAAGGTTCCAGTTAATTTTTAACATTAACACAGTCACTTAGTGGATGCCTTCAGCACCTCTGATGTTGTGAAGTACAGCAAAAGAGGCTGGTTGGGCTAGCTTGCTTTCAATAGTAAATGAACAAGTGGCTTTCTAGAGAGCACATACGGGGCAGGTCCAAAGTCCCAGCCTCCAATGGCCAGGAGGGTTTTCAGTTGGGTGTTCCTTAAAAGCAAAAGATAAAGAACGATTTTAAAATCCATAGGTTCCCCCATTTAGGTAATGCAACTGATATTATTTGGTGTTTTCCTGACAAGATATGACACACTAAAGCACAATTTCCTTCCATTACCATAAGCTAACTTTCTCTCTCTCTCTCTCTCTCTCTCTCTCTCTCTCTCTCTCTCTCCCTCCCTCCCTCCCTCCCTCCCTTCCTTCCTTTCTATCTTTCTTTCTAAGGAAACTCTGAATTGTAAAATTGTGCATTGTTCTTTTAGGGTAGTGACTAACAATAATTATGGTGTCTATAACTTAAAAGTATAGTTAGCTCATATTCTCTTCTCTTGAATAGAATGATAAACATCATTTGAATATTATTATTTTTTCCAGCATCCTTCACAATTAGTAGAGATTTGTCAGGTTAGAATTACAAACGTTCTTGAGATACTGACTATGAACCTTGCTCCTATAGGAATAATTCATAGGGGTTTTGAGAGGACATTAAATTCTAGGTTTATTGCACCTTTCTTGGAGATTTTGATTATGTGTGATGGGATAAGTGTGTGCGTTTGTGAGTTTTGTTTGTTTTTTTAAAAATGGTCCATGTAGTTTTGTTGCCAGAATTATATGGACTACACTTGGCAAAAAAGCCTGGTTAAGTAGTTTCTTTCCAGTTTGGGATTACAGTACACGTTCATGTAACTACACTCATGACAGTGCCTTCACCACAGGGAGAAGTACCTAGGTCTTCCTTATTGCTGATGTGGTTGAACTTAATGAATCTGCTAGTTACTGGATATGATGCCTTATTTTGTTTTTACACAAAGATGAACTCTATCTGAATACATCAAGTTGTTTGATTTGTGAGCTAAATGATGTCTAAAGTCTAATATCCTCCACTTCTTGTTTTCTGATATAAGTAACTGAGGTTGTTTGGAGTTTCCTCTCCCCACAAACTCTCCAAAGAACAAGGAAAGGAAGAAACATAGCCCCTATTTTTCACATGCTAACGGTATCAGTGATGTGACAATTGTCTAAGTCCTTGCTACTTAACACATAGCTCCTAGACCAGAAGGGTCAGCATCGTGTATCAAAAGTGTACTAGAAATGCACCATGTTGTCCACATGCAGAAGAACCATATAGTTGGGCTGATGTTGCATACTATATCCTAAAATCAACTCAGAGTGGATTAAAGAGCTAAACACGAGACTATCAAACTACTAGAAGAAAATATGAGGGGAGCCCTCTGAGAGTGGTCTGGGCAAAAACAAGACAACAAATTCAAGAATTAACTGTGAAATGATTCTGAAGAGAGTGAAAGAGACAGAGACAGACAGAGGCAACCAAATAATGAGTTTAAAAAAATCAGGAGTTAAAAAAAGACATCATGAAATTTTCAGGCAAGTAGATGGAACCAGAAAAAAAAATCACCCTGAGTGAGGTACTTCAGATCCAGAAAGATGAATATGGTATGTATTTGCTTATATGTAGATATTAGATGTGAAGTTAATGATACCAAGCTATGACAGGATAAAACTCAGATCCTCAGTCCATAGACTCACAGAGGGAAGGCATAGAGCAAGGGACTAGACAGAACAGACAGATCTCATTAGTAAAGGAAAATAACATAGAGAGTTATGGATGTATGGGGATGCTGGAATGGGAGGATCACATGGGGAGGGTAGGGGAGTGGAGGGAAAGAAGAAGTTGTGGAAGGGAATAAAGGGAGAGATAGTTAAAATTAAGGGGCATTTTGAGGGGTAGTATGGAAATCTAATACAGTATAAATTTTTTGAAATGTATACATATGTGAAGGAATTTAAATGAAATTGCTAAATAAGGGGGAGTCCCAACTGACCATCTCTTGTCTCTAAACAAAGCTTCCAGTACCAGGATTCAGTTACATCTAATTGAGTTCTGGCCAAAGAAGTCCTAAAAGGGCTATTGTGAAGGCTATATAGGTTGCTCTCCACAAACTGACAGCAAAACCTCATTGCTGAAGATAACACCTACACAACTCATTGAACATGGAGATATCTAGCTGGTGCCTATGTAGAGCCTTCACTCCCCATGTTCCAGCATCTTTAGTACAAGAATGTACTCTGTGCACTCTCAAAAGAGAAATGTAAACACCCATCCAGCCACAAACTCTTTATCTACAATGGTGTACCGCCTGCAAGAAAGGCTAAGGCAATGGTGGTTCAGAGTTTGTGGGTTCAGAGTTTGTGGGAGTAACCAACTGATAATGGATCTACTTAAGGCCCTGTCATGAGATCCGTACCAAACACTGCTGGTTGACCAAGAACATGAAACTAGATAGCTTAGGGACCTGGGGTAAAATCAATTAATATTGGTCTAAAAAAGGAAAAAAAAACCCAGCGTGATAAAATGACTCCTAATGATATTCTGCTATACTTGTGTAGATCAGTGCCTTGTTCAGCTGTCATCAGAGAAACTTAT